ATATATAATAATAGTATTATATATATATATATATATATATATATATTCATTTTATGTATTTATTGATTCATTTATTCATCCCAAGTGTACGCACCCAAAGCAAATCCCAAGTCCTAAAGGAGGAAAATACTGCATTGGGACCAAGCAAAGAAACATTAATTTCTTGATAAAACCATCATTACAACAGGAACTTCTTAATATCCATCTTCTTCGCCATAGGTTCTACTGCCTTCCTCACATACTCGGCATCGATAACGAAATGCTCCCCTTTTTTGTCCGGGCCATCGAAGCTGATTTCCTCCACAACCTTCTCTGTAATTGTAATGAGACGGCGAGCACCGATATTTTGCACTGTGGAGTTAATCCTAGCCGACATCGCCGCAATCTCCCAGAGCGCATCATCGGTGAAATCAAGGGTCACCCCCTCTGTTGCCATCATGGCCTTGTGCTGCAAAATGAGGTTGAATTTTGGCTCCGTGATAATGCGATAAAAGTCCTCCTTCGTGAGTGATTGCAGCTCAACACGAATGGGGAGGCGGCCCTGGAGCTCGGCCAGCATGTCGGAAGGCTTCACGCTGTGGAAAGCACCACTACAAATAAAGAGGATTTTATCCGTCTTCACTTGCACATTGAACTTTGTAGAGACAGTTGTACCCTCCACAAGCGGCAGCAGATCCTGCTGGACACCCTCAGCAGAGGCCTGGTGCCCTTTGTAGCCTCCGGCGGCTGTCACGATCTTGTCGATCTCGTCAATCACTACAATCCCATCCTCCTCACAGGCACGCAACGCCTCCGCGGTGACGTCCTCGGTGTCCACCATCTTGTCCAGTTCCTCTTGCAGAACCGCCGGCAGGGCGTCTTTGATTTTAAGGACTTTTTTTTCCGTCTGGACACGCTGCCCCCCTCCGATAATGGAGGGAATATCCAAGGAAATGAACACGCCATCCCCAGAAGCCGACTTTGGCTTCTCCTTCTTCTCCTGCAGCTCCACCATCACCTCGATGTCGTCAAGCGCTCCACTGCGCAGATGTTCTCGAAAGCCATCCGACACCCCGGCTAATGCCTTGAGGATGCGATCCTCAGCCTTTATTTGGGCCACCTTATTATGCTGCCGGCGTATGTTCTGCTTTGTCTGGTTGAGGGCTGTTTTGTAGAGGTCCTCAACAATACTCTCAACGTCGCGGCCATGAAAACCAACCTCGGTGAATTTGGTAGCCTCCACTTTCACAAACGGTGCGTCTACCAGCTTGGCCAGACGCCGTGCAATCTCAGTCTTGCCTACTCCGGTCGGACCTATCATAAGAATATTCTTGGGGGCAATTTCTTCCCGAATTTCAGCCGGGACTTGATGCCGACGCCACCGATTTCGCAGAGCCACCGCAACGGCCTTCTTGGCGTCGCTCTGTCCGACAATGTAGTTGTCAAGTTCCTTCATCAATTCACGAGGCTTCATGTTACGGATGTGAGTTTTACTGCCTTCGTCACTTGGTGGCGATGGCAGCTTATCTGGGGCCTGTGTAGCAGCAGCCGTGCTACAGTGCCGCTGCACACTAACCAACGAGAAGAGCCGCGACGACGCTGCATTTTTCCCGAAACCACACCTCATTGTTCTCACAATCCAAGCCTGGTTGAATATGTTAATAGAAAGGATAATAATAATTATTGGTATATAAAACGCAGTTCCCGTGAAAAGGAGCAAGTGAAGTCTAATAGAAAGCTTTTATATGGGATGATGATGACTACGTTAAATAATGATGTAACCTCACTAATGGAATAAAAAAACTTTAACAACAACTAGGATAGAAATTCTTTAATTGAATTGATGTTTTCCACACAATAAATTTCACGTTAAGATACACCGAGTGTATGAGAACCCCCCCCCCCCCCAATACAAAAAAAAAATTGTAAAAAGGTTCATGATACTCACTGCAATGTATACAGTAAGAAAAGAGCGACTTGGTGGGTCATCTCACCCGGCTATAGCAATTGACAGAAGCACGCATTCCCTACCCGGACATTATTTGAAATACCCACAACACAAAACAGCAGACTCAGTTAAACAGCAAGCTCAGTAGTAAATAACAACAATCGTGATCATGACTCAAAATACCGTTCAATACCTCCTAACAAGGTGAAATTCAAGTTCACCATCTCAAATCGCGTTACTGAACAAAATGTGCTGCTTCTTTCGCTTAAGCGGTGCCATGGATCTGAATTTATGGTATACTCGCAGTCCACTGGACATCAAAAACCATCGATACCTCTCAAAAAGTTTCGATGTATAAGTCTCCTGTGCACCCAATCCCAGCTGTCTTTGAAGCACGTTAAAATACGTGGCAGAATACAGCCCCAGCCCACGTGGATTGTATAGATCAGTAAGGAGAGGGTTCTGAATGAGAAGGCTCTCCTCATCCGCAGCCATGTCAGCCGAAGTGGGAGGTAGCTTAAAGCGTTCCGTGAATGCGTGGGCAATAAACCGTGCTTGGATTTCAAACATCATAAAGGGTGGAAGCAGTTCCCTCTGCATACCTACAAAGGCAAGTGAAGGCTTCTCTGCATAAATTGTTCCGAGGTAAAGACCGCGTTTGTTGTGGGTAATGCCTTGGGCTGAGTTCACAGTCATATCCGGGGCTGGGAGTAGGCAACTCGGATCGGCCTCCAACTCGCGGCGCAGGCTTGGGTGTAAAAATGGGAAGCGCTGCTTATAACCAGTTGCGCTGATAACGACATCGACGTTGTCGATGAAAGTTCCCTCATCCTCCGGACCAGGCCTGGAACGTCGACCTAAGCGACGCATCTCAGCCTCCTCGAGGACCTCCACGTGGCGCATCTGACGGGTAGGATCGGCTGCCCAGAGAATGCCCTTGTGTTCCGTTTTCAGCGGGTACCCAACGCGCGGAATCGTCTCGATGTGCTCGTTGCGATACCGCATCCATTTCTGCAGTAACTCGTTGGCTTTGTGTACATCATAGCGCCATCCAGGAATGCGCTGGAGCAACAAACTTACCAAGGTGGCTACATCACGAATAGCACCCTTCGTCAGGGGCGCCGGGCCCTCTGATGACTTTAGAAACCGCCTCCAAAAGCTCCTTCCCATTGAGGTTTCCATACTTCCCGGCGCTGAACCAGCAGCAGCGTTGTATTGGAACCCTTGGTAAAGAGTTGCGGATGGGTCTAAATCAGCGGATCCCGCGATCCCCGGGCGTTTGAACAGTGTGCTGTGGTACACATCCGCACCAAAACGCTTTAGCTCCACACAGTAGTCATACGCCGTTACGTCATCGCCCAGCACAACGACACGCTTATTTTTCAGCGAGCGAAAGTCCTTGACGTGCGAGGCATGATGCAGCTCACCACCCTCTCGCGTGTAGTCGGACAACAGCTCTTTAAGGCCAACTGGATAATGAGGCTCATGGGTCTGGCCGGTGCACACACACACCTTGTCGAAGGAGTACTCCATCACATCACCATTTACGATGTTTACAGTGATCAACTTCCACATGCCGTCGCGGCAGTCGAAGCGTACAGACTCAACCTTAGTATTGAAACGAGTCATTCCATGGATTCCTTTTCTTTCCGCACACTGATTTAAATAATGCTGCACGGATGAATGGTGAGGAAAATGTGGGACGGTATAATCAAACCTTACTTCACTGAAAGCCATGAGGTCCTTCGGCAACACGCAGCGCATGGTGGGGTAAATGGGCGAAATGAGGCCCCTTGAGGAAAATGAGTCACGGCTATTGCTCTGCCAGATGCCACCTGGAGCTGATGCGATTTCGAAACACGTCACCAAAAGTCCATTTTGCCGCAGCGTTGCAGTTGTGGCCATACCGGCGGCACCACAACCAATTACTGCACACGTCTGCATGTTGGTGGGCAGAATCAAAGAGCTTTACCCACCAGACTCGATTTAAAAAATATTACTACTAATGCGAATATATCTGTATATATATATATATATATATATGTTTGCGAGTGTGTGTGTGTGTGTGTGTGTGTGTGTGTGTGTGTGCGTG